AGCTTTGGACGCAAACACCAAGAGCACTGCCACTGATCCAAGTGTCGTCGTCTTTTATTGCCGTTTGCAAAGCCAATATTATCCTTCAAAATTAAATGCTTAGAAGGATATTATATTAGTCAAATGATCTGAACGCCTTTGTAAGGCCCCGAAATTATAAAAGCAAATGAATAGATTTCATATATCATTTCTAGATTCTTGCAACCTGCATAATACCCACAGGAACGTGCCACACTAGTCCGATAACCTTTAAAAAATGCAGTCGGTGTCATGAGCCCCATTTATTTTGCAAAACAATGGCAAGCGATATCCCGTTATGATGAGCCTTTAACGCCGAAGTGCCACCACCATTGATTAAACAAACTGATTCAATATGAGATTTTGATGTCAGGTGTTAATCAAACACAGTAAAACATACCGACACGGTGAACAAAGAGTTTGGCTTGGGCGGGAAAGTGGAAATTAATGACGTTGTCAAGCAATGGAACGTCAATTCCGCGGGCAGCGAGATCTGTTACGAGGAGACACCTCACCCGACCATTACGAAAGCTACTCACCGCCATGTTTCGAGCTACCGGGTCCAAACCAGAGTGTACCACAGTACAATCAATTCCGACCTCTTTGAATACCTTTTGTCAGAAAGTAGATTACTTGCTTATTTAAAATTAATTTCGAAGGAAAAAATGCAATGCCTACCAATTCCATGTAGTCAACATGGTGTTTTGTGGCAAAGAATAATGCAACCTTCTCCTTTTCCGGAATAATGGTCTTAAGGAGATGTATGACAAGAGCCTCTTTTTCGTATGGAAGACAGGTAATGAAAGCCAGTTTGAGCTGGCTGCTCAATTTCGTGTCAACATCTAGTCGGATGAGTGCTGGTTCTGTAAGGCTGGCCTGAGCAAACTCTAACAGACCGCCAGGAAGAGTGGCTGAAAAGATAAGAGTTTGACGTTTCGTTGGTAGTCTATTAAGTGTTTCTCTCAACTGATCGGCGAAACCCAACTCAAACAATCTATGAAAGAAAATATGCTCGATAATAATCATTTTGGTGGCAAAACTCGCAATAGGTTAACGAAAACTCACCTATCGCCTTCGTCAAACACAACGTAATCAATTGACTTCAGAGTAAGGTCCATTTCCATTATAATATGCAGCAAGCGACCGGGTGTAGCGATTATTCTATGAAATCGAGGTCGTTAAGCACAAAATGCACAACCTACATGTCAGGATTTTGGTGGATCGCCATGAATTGGTCATCCATTCTAAAAGTTGTGAGTCAAAAAATGTACAAACATACTTATCGCCTCCAACAATTACAGCAGCAATCAGGTTCGTAAATCTCCCAATCTTAAATGGAAAAAACGATGATGCGACCATTACTTTTAAAGAAAATGCAGTATACAATCAATGACTTCTCTTCATGAAAAATATTGGCCTCGTACAAATTAATCAGAACAGAAAACCAGTATCACATAGGAGGTTAAGCGCTTCCTAGAGTTTTGATTGACAATACTAAAGAATGTCTACTTAAGCAAAACAAATGCAAACATACATCCTTCGTGAAAGCAAGCGTCTGCATAGCAAGCTCACGAGTGGGACTTAGAAGCAGCGCCCTAGCACCAGTATCCCGATGGCATTTTAACCTCTCTAATAGAGGAATGAGAAAAGCTGCCGTTTTTCCACTCCCAGTGCGTGCCATAGCAACAACATCACGACCGGAAAGAATGACAGGAATGGCCTTCCGCTGAATGGGGGTCGGAGCTTTGTAACCCTTCCGAGCGATTCCATTGAAAACAGCCCGACTTAGACCCATTGCTTGAAAGCCACCAGCACGCTTCTTATTCTTCCGATTTGCGCTTTGAACAAGCACGCGAAATTTATCAGCGCTAAGTTCAGAAGCATCTGAGGATTCAGAATCCATTCTGGATAAAGGAGTAAAGCGCTTTTAATAACATTCACCGATATGTAGGCAGCACAGAACTAAACAGGAGCAAGGTAAAACAATAAACCGCTTCCTAAAATGGTTGTAAGACCCCTACTCATAAAGGCTTGTAATTGGGAAAGGAGACTAGATACAAATAAGCGAATGTTTGAGTTCGGGAATAATCATCAAGGAGCGACTCATGTAGCTATATGAAAGAAAATGTATTCATCTCCAGATTATGCAAATCTTGTTAAATAAACAGCATCTGAAACCACGTGACTAACCACCTGTATAGAACACACCAATTTGAAAGTCGGACGGCTTATCCGTAGAGTTAAACACTCTCTTCTAAAGCATGAGTTTAACGTAATGTCATTAATGATATCCACATGAGGATGGGGTAAGGATCTTGAGATCTTGGCCACGTCGCATGGAACGAGTACAAACGCCACTTCCAATACTTTCATTCATTTGAATTTAAAAAAGCTTACTTAAATATGACATTAATCAGGAATGTGGGAATAGAACTTGTAAGGCTTTGTTTATGTGAATATCTGACGTTTGGAAGTCGCTATAGGACTTGTCTAGCCCGTGTACTCGTGGGCTGGCTTTTGGGCCATGCTCAGGCTCATTTGCCCTGTCGTCTTCGGAATATGTGCATCCAGCCTCACTTACTGCTTCTTCCACCCCATGAGGAGCCTTGAGACGCTGCAGAACTCGTAAAAGGTCGGAATTTGCTTCTCACTGCCCTTAGTGCAGCATTCCGAGACTCCTCATTTCGTTAAAGAATGCATTTAGAAGGAGTGGAAAGATGTATTAAAGAAGACAAGGGGATTGGATTTTGGTCTTCCACGACGATCTGCCGACATGTGCAATAGCAATTTGCCATTAAATCGTAATTTGGACTAAAATAACGAGTTGTCACAGATATACTTCTGGCTGGCAGGAGAAGATGTCGTAAATCCCGCTTTGCTAAGCTTCAATGGGCTTGTTTTAGTGCAATAAATGCTTGTTCAGACTTCCTCCATTTGGATTAGACGATCTTCTTAAGCAATATCGCAACTAAGCGATGTATATTTCCTATAAAAGGGGAAGCCAAAGTTGACTGTCGACAGCACTAGAGCATATGCACACCACTTATTAAAAAAATGACACCTATTTATCAGTCTGCTTGTTGTAGTAGATTCGAGGTGGAAGTAGCAACTGCCAATGTCTAGCTTCTAGCGACCCCCGTGAGGACAGCAGAAGGCGTGACGCCTTAGCAAAAGTTCGTCATTCATCCTCATGTTCGATTAATGTTATCTCCAACACGACCACAATTTTACCGACGAATACGTAATTGCGCAAATATTAACGGG